GGGGGGTGGGCCGCTCTCTCGCTCTCTCTCTCTCTGTGGGGTGGGTGTGAGTGGACGCTCTCTCTCTGTGGGGACAGGGGTGGGTGGGCCGCTCTCTCTCTCTCTCTGTGGGGTGGGTGTGGGCAGGAGCTGCTCTCTCTGTGGGGGAGTAGGTGTGGGTGGGGCACTTGCTCTCTTTCCTTCCCCAGGGAAAGCCAATGCAAGACGGCAGCCCCAGAGCGCATCCCGAGGGGCGCCGAGTGGGGGGACGCTCTCTCTCTGTGGGGACAGGGGTGGGTGGGCCGCTCTCTCTCTCTCTCTGTGGGGTGGGTGTGGGCAGGACGTGCTCTCTCTGTGGGGGAGTAGGTGTGGGTGGGGCACTTGCTCTCTTTCCTTCCCCAGGGAAAGCCAATGCAAGACGGCAGCCCCAGAGCGCATCCCGAGGGGCGCCGAGGGTCCCATGTTCATCGCCATGGTGTGGAGCCCGTGTTTCCAGCCAGAGCCTGGGGTGGAAGGTGTCAGGTCTCCACCTACCTCCACTCTCAATCAGCACATCCAGCAGCTCGTCCATTTGCTGACTTCGAGTCATCTGCTGCAGCAAAACAGCACAAGAGGAGAGCAGGGTTAAGCCGTTTCTCGGGCCAGTGGTCCCCAGCGTGCTGACACCCCACCGCGTGCCCGGGAGGCGGGGGAGCCGGGAGCAGGGCTCTCTGCAGTGTGAGCGAGCTGGGCTCCCGAGCTGCAAGCTGGTCTCTCTCCCTTCCTGCAGGTGGGACAGGGCTCGCTGCTCCCTGGTGTGGCACAGCCACGGTCGGAGCCACGTCCAGCAGCCTCCGCTCTGAGCTGGGCTGAGGGAGCCTGCTGCACACAGCCTGCGTGGGATGCCTGTGCCCAGCACACCAGGGGCCTGCTCCCCCGCCCTCACCGCTGCTCCCAGGGGAGCCCGGGCTGCTGCTGGCCTCTCTTTCGGCTGAGTGCTTGTGTGGACATTGGCTGCTGCCCAGTGGCCCATGTGGATGAGTTTGGTCCAATTGCCAATGAACCAAGCAGCCCCTATCCCAGCTGGCGCACAGTGGCCCTCTGTGGCGGCTCCTCAGATGCGCGGGGTGGCCCCCTGTGCCGA